ACACACACACACACACACACACACACACACACACACACACACACACACACACACACACACACACACAAAGCATCGATGGTTGCACGGACCGAGGCGGGCTGTGGGGACGCGCTTGAAGAGTTTGCGGAGGAGCGATTGCGCCTGAGGGGACAGGAACTGCGGCATGGACAGCCGCGCCCTGCAGTGGTTATGTGACGTGATGTGACGTGATGTGACGTGAGGTGGGGCTGCTTGTTGCCGTTGCTACACACACGCACACACAACACACGCAGCACACTGCAGTACACGCTCCAAGTCATCACTACTGCCTTCTCCCCCCCCCCCAGCACACCAGTCCCTCTAATTCCACCACCACCGCCAGCTCACTTGAGGATCATCTGCATGGTGGTCTTGCGGTTGTCCGATGTGAAGGGCAGCTCGCCCGTGAGCATCTCGTACATGAGCACGCCAAAGGACCACCAGTCCGCAGACTGGTCGTGGCCCTTCCTGTTGACCACCTCGGGCGCCATGTACTCGACAGTCCCGCAGAAGGAGTACGTCTTGCCCTCCGCCGTCTCCGTGTACTCCTTGCACAGCCCAAAGTCCGTCAGGGCAATGTGCCCCGAGTCGTGGAGGAGAATGTTTTCGGGCTTGAGGTCGCGGTAGATAACGCCAAGACTGTGCACGTGCTCCAGGGCCAGGCACAGCTCGGCCAGGTAGAACTGCACATCCTGCTCCGTGAACATCACCTGATGGTGGTGGTGGTGGTGAAAAGGTGGATGGTGGTGGTTGAAGTGGGTGAGAGTGTGGGTGGGTGGTTGGAGTGGGTGAGAAATTAGTGGATGGCGGGTGAGCACAAGGACGCACACACACACACACACACACACACACACACACACACACACACACACACACACACACACACACACACACACATAAGACCGCTGTGCACGCGACTGCACCTCGTTGCTGAGTCTGGTGAAGAGGTCGCCGCCGCGGAGAAAATCCATGATGATGTACAGCTTTCCCGCCGTCTGGAACGCTGCTCAGGCGGCGGTGGTGATGATGGTGGTGATGATGGTGGCGGGGGAACATGGTGAGTGCACGTGTGTGTGTATGTGTGTGAATATGTCCGCAAGTGTGCTTGTGTGTGTGTGTGCTTGTGTGTGTGTGTGTGTGCTTGTGTGTGTGTGTGCTTGTGTGTGTGTGTGTGTTTGTGTGTGTGTGTGACATAATAACTTCACAAGAGCGCACGTACACGTGCACATGCAGGGTACAGCAACACGACAGAAGTAATGACAGTGCGGGTGACGGACCGTAGTGCATGTGGACGATAAACGGGTGACGGATGGACGCCAGAATGTCGCGCTCCGCTTTCGTGCGGAACCGATCACGCACTGGCACACATGGACAGATGTGGTCGGTCGATGGTGGAGAGGTATGAGTGGATGATTGAATGGGCCATGTCTGTGTGTGTGTGTGTGTGTGTGTGTGTGTGTGTGTGTGTGTGTGTGTGTGTGTGTGTGTGTGTGTGTGTGTGTGTGGAATGGCTGACCTTTGAGAGTAGCCTTCTTGAGCACTTTCATGGCGTAGAGGGTGCCGGCATCCTTGCCCGTCTTCTTCCTTACAAGGAACACCTGATGCAACAGCAATGACGGCAATGATGGAGCGTGGGAACGTCGCGTGATCGCGTGCGTGCGTGTGTGTGTGTGTCTATAAAAGAGCAGACGGAACACGCATGCATGCATACACACACGCACACACGCACGCACCATGCCAGAGGTACGCATGTGTGTGTGTGTGTGTCTGTGTATATCTGTCTGTGCCTGTGTGTCTGTGGAGATGTGTGCATTTCTATGTCTGCCAATCCTTGCTGTCTGTGCGTTTCTGGCTCACTGTCTCCCTACCCAAGACTCCTTCCTCTTCCCTCCAACTCACAGTTTCCATTACCGCTCACCCCACACATCACACCCCTCTTAATCCCCCCGCCCAAACCACCATCACTCTAATCTCCCAAACACGACCACCGCCGCCAATCACCACCGCCACAGGGCCAGGTTGACTCGCTGATGCAGGAGGTTGCTGACCAGCACGGGCTTGAGCTCGGCTCCGAGCTGTCCATCCCATCTGGCAGCGTCTCTGTCGGCACTTCCTCTGCCGCCAACCGCGAGCAGGACGAGCTCTCGGAACGCCTCGCAAAGCTCAGGGGCAACTGAGGTGGTGTGATTGTGATTTATGTGTTGTGTGTGTGTGTGTGATTGTGATGTTGTGATTGTGATTTTTTGCGTTGTGTGTGCGTGTGTGTGTGTGTTTAAGTGTGTGTGTGTGTGTGATTGTGTGTGTGTGTGTGTGTTGTGTGTGTTGTGTGTGTGTGTGTGTGTGTGTGTGTGTGTGTGTGTGTGTGTGTGTGTGTGTGGCGCGCGCGCGAGATCGACTGTACGTTTGCCCGTTTGACTGTGCGTGCAATCGGCTGTACGTCCGCCCGTTCCTCCACCTCTTTGTATTTTTTGTTTTGTGTGTGTGTAGCGCATGTTCCCCCCTCCCCGATCCAGTCTTTTGTCGCCCATATCCCCTCCCCGTCTCTCCCTCTCCCATCCCTCTCCCATCTCTCGTCATCCGCCCGCCCACCCAAATGCTGCTGCTTTGACGCTTCAATTTTCACCTTGTGTATGGTTTCGTTCACTACTAACCGCAAGTTCCCTCTGGAAGTAAACACAACGCCACGTGCGCCAACTTGTATAATCAACTCACGATTTGGAACGTAGAACTGGGAACTGAGAACGGGGGATCAAGCCTACAGAGGAAGGGCTTCAGGCATGCGCAAACACGAACATAGACGCCTGCGCACACGCAATCACACACACACACACACACCACAACACACACACACACACACACACACACACACACACACACACACACACACCACACAACACACACACACACACACACACAACACAACACAACACACACACAACACACGTGTCATGCTGCCGGGGTGACGTGACCACCGGATACGGCGCCCGTCGATGTCGATGTCGATGTCGATGTCGACGACTGCGGTGGCGGCGGTGGACTGCCATGACGTGTAATCGGAGCGGATGTGGTGCGGCTGACACGCGACGATGTGGACAGCGACGAGGGCACGGGGTCTGCGGAGAGAACGGTCGTGTGGTGCACCTCCACCGTGCAGTGTGCAGGCAGGTACGGCTCGAGCAGGTACGCGTCGAGCTGCGTGTTGATGTCCGACAGCTGCGACGACAGCGAGCGGACCGCCGTGATGGTGTCCTGGGCGCAAGGAGGAACGGTGGGGTGACGCGGGGAGGAGAGGGGGTTGAGATGGGGAGGAGGGGGTTGAGGTGGGAGTGAGTAAGCCATGCAAAAGGCGCACTGTGGTCACAGTGGACACATTAGAGCACACATACGCGCGCACACACACACACACACACATACGCACACACACGCACCTGTGTTGTGTTTTGGGCTTTCGTGAGCTTGGTGGATGTGGCCGTGATGGTGGAGTGAACGCTGCTGGAGAGAGATGTGCTCAGTTTCGTCACGTGCTGCCGCAGCTGAGCCGTGTGTTTTCCTGCTCATGATAAAAGAAGGAAGTGTGGCGAACGATGGCGATAGGGTGAACTCATTGGGCGGTACACTTACACGCGTGTGTGCAACACAAGCGAGCGACTGTGTACCATTGCCGGGCAACAACAAGAAGCAGCAAGCGCTTCAAGCACTCACTGAGGTACGCCTCGCGGACGGGTGATGCGCCAGTTACCCTGTTTGGTGCAATGAACGCGCACACGTTTGCGTGAGCAGAGCAACCAAGCATCAGGAACGAAACGGATGAAAACACAATTGCGGCAGATTCACAGCCAAGGATTGACACAGACAGGAACCATCAACAACAACACAACCACTCATGATCACACAATCACAAGCCACAACAAATCTCACCGCAGCACAATCACAGCCACACCAACCAAAACGCACTCTGTTTGTGGCACGCCGCCTGTGGCCGCTGGGCAGGTGCTGTCGGATTCTGTGGCGGCAACGGCTTTCTTGCCAGCTTCTGAGTCTGCAACACGTTCCTTCTTGGCCGGTGCACTGTCGCTTGTTGTCTGGCGGTCTGTTTCGCGTGCACCCTCATCTTCTTCCCTGTCCCCCTTGTCTTCCTCATCGTCGCCTTCGTCTTCTTCTTCGTCTGACTCCGAATCCTCGCCTTGTACAACACCCTGCGTTGAGCGATGCAAGGCGCCTTGCATGAGAGGGTGTGTGGCCGAGAAGCCATCTCCAAGGCAAACACACAAGTGCGATGGAGGTGGGCAAGCTCAAACACGCAAGCATACACGCACAGAGCACGCACACTCATACACAATCATACACACACTCACACACACACACACAGCACACAACCCACCGAAGGCGATGATGATTGCTGCCGTGCTTGCTTTGTTGTCTTCTTTGCCCCTTGTACATCCCCCCTCACCTCATTCACCTCATCCACCTGTTCCTGTTCCTCTTCTTCCTCCGTCTCTGTCTCCGACTCTGTGTCCTCCCCAGCCACAACCACTGCAGCCGCCCTTGCTTCCTCGTCTGCCATCTTCGTCTGCGATGGAGCAGTTGGGACGATTTATGGAAAACATGCACAAACATTCCACGGGCAGCGCAAACACAAACACAAACACAAAAGCAGCAACGAAAAGAACCCTTGCACCGCGCACACGAGCGTCACATCACACCCATGTCAACCATCACACCATCATCACAGCACCACAGCATCACATCAGAGTTATGTCAACAGACATCACCAGCATCAGAGGAACAAGAGGAACAAACAGGCAGGCATGCAAGCACGCAGGCAGGCAACGAGGGTTGTATGGAAGAAGTGAAGAAAGCAACATCAACGAGGAGAAGAAGCAGAAGAAGGAGAAGAAGGAGAAGAAGAAGCAACAGCCATGGGTATCGCACGCACATCGCAGCACGGCACGCACGTTGTGCGCCCACAACGCTGCGACGGC